GAGAGAGAGAGAGAGAGAGAGAGAGAGAGAGAATGAGAATGAGAATGAGAATGAGAATGAGAATGAGAATGAGAATGAGAATGAGAATGAGAATGAGAATGAGAATGGAGAATGTTGGGGCTGGGGAGATGGCTCAATAGAAAAACCACTTTCCTGGCAAGCACAAGGGCCTGAGTTCAATCCCCGGTTCTTCCAAGAATAAAAATAGAAGGGAATGCTTATTCTGCTCTTACAATTCTTCTGTAAAATTCTAGAGAGAAACTCTTTCTACAAATGAACTATTATAGATGAGCTTTCTCCCTTGCATTTACCACTTAAAGTATACTTGATTGACACTATATTGAATGACACAGTATACTAGAAAGTATTTAAATTTATATAATTTATTATTTCTATTTTAAATGAAGCACAATTTAATATTTAAAGTATTGGTCAGTCATCAGTCTATACAAGAAGTCTATAAACTATAGCTCATGAGTGCAATTTAGTCTGCCATTCATGAGTCAATGGATTTTAAGTGGCCGAAATGAATAAAAACAGTAATTTTTTTTGAGACAGGGTTTCACTCTATAGATCATGCTGGGCTTGAACTCATTATGTAGCCCAGGCTAGTCTTCAACTCACAGAGATCCTCCTGCCTCAGCCTCTCAAGTGCTGGGATTACAAGTGTGCACCACCACTCCCAGCATTTAAAACAATAATTTTGGTGTCACATGAAAATATAAGAAATCTAGATTTCAGTGTGCATGAATGAAATTTTATTGAAACATAGCAGTATGCATTCATTTACAATGTACTGTCTATATTTCCCCTTAATAAAGCTGAACAGCTGCAAAGAGATTACACAAACTCACAATTTAAAACATTTACCTCTGGTTAACAGAAAACATTTTCAAACCCCCTGCTCTATAAGGAGATGGACAGTGACACTGGAAGTGACTAAAGTCATGTTCTCCTAAACACCAGGCTTCTATAGTTTCTATGTTACCTCCTAATTAACTGAACAATACAGAGACTACCAAAAAGTACTTTACCTGCCATTTTCCTTAGGGGACCTGAAAGTAAAAATAGAAATTGTTAATCAGCATTTAAAAAGGATATAAATGTTATATCATTCATCATAGTATAAGTTATTTATATATTTCTTTTCCTTTTCTTTGAAATGCCTTCTTAAATGAAAATGTGTCATCCTATCAGACACTGGCAAAGTTCTGCACATTGAAGAAAATAAAAGTGAAGAAAGTACTTTAAAAACCTTTTTATTTTTTTTTTTATTTTTTTTTTTTTATTTTTTTTTGGTGGAACCAGGGATTGAACTCAGGCCCTTGCACTTGCCAGGGAAACGCTTATTCCACTGAGCCATCTCCCTGGCCCCACAGAAAGTACTTTAAACAAAAGATTTTATAATCATTTGGACATCTGCTTTTAAATATTTTCAAATTACTAATGTATGACTTATTTCTTTATTAAATAATTTTCTGAAGTGCCAGAGACTGAATCCAGGATCCCCACACTTAGCTACCCCTCCAGGCCTTTTTATTTTTTATTTGGAGACAAAGTCTCCCTAAGTCACTAAGTTGCCTAGGCTGGTCTCAAACTTGGCAGACCACCTGCCTCACCCGCGCCCAGAAAGCTAGGATTACAGGCATGCACCACCTCCCTTTGCTACAAGTAGCTTGTTTTTGGTAGATTAGCACAGGACTTTAATCGCTGACGTTAAAATTGGAAACCTTTTGGGCAATATATGTGTTATAGTATTAAAATAGATGAAAAGAAAATCAGAGTTATAGAACCACATAAAATAAAGCATTGAGAAATTTCAGAACCTTACTAAAAAAAAAAAAAAAACCTTATAACTTCCAGGAGAAATGGAAGAAAATGTTATAAAGCAAAATGAGTTTCTCCTAGAAAAACAAAGAAATTACAATAGTAACTTCAAACCTAAACAAAGCTATTTCTCAACCACAATCCCATGCCTAATCAAACTATTTACTTAGTAGGAGAGTCAAATAAGGATATTTTCAAACATGCATAAAAACAATGAAATTATTTCCCATATGCTCTTTTGTGTTACATCAAAATGAAAAAATAGAACAAGAAAAAAGTTTACATAGCCTTCAAGGAGAATAAACAAATTCCATATACTTTCCCAGACATGGAGAAATACTAGTTAAGAGACAAAAAAAATCTCTGTAACAAACAGGTCTCCCAAGTACAGTGGTGAAAAGGCAAAAGCATCTTTCTTTCTCACGAAGCACGCCCAGCTTGAGTAGTACAGTTAATGGGATGTTTAAGCTTCACAGAATCAAGTGAGGGTCCCAAAGCCCTTCTAACTTGCTGCTCATCCAGATTATCATAATTCTCCTCATATCCAAAGCTTTAGGACATAACATAAATTCTAGTTTGTGGGAAAGGCATAAACATAAACTCAGAGTAAGAAATTAAAAGAAATATATATATATATATATATATATATATATATCCCTTCCACTTTTATGCCATCAATAATAACAGGCACTGGGGGCCTGCCCTTTAGCTCAGATGTTTAAGTGCCTGCTAAAACAAAGCAGTCAGGCTTAGGATGCTGTGGTTTGATCCCCTCATCCTCAAGTCAAACCAGACCTGCCCTGAAAGCAACCTGAGCAGCCAAAAAGAAAACAATAACAGGCATATGGCCATACCTATGAGCAAAGAAGTAATGAAATGTAATTCCTACCTATGTAATCATGAGTCCAATTTAAATTGTCTAATTATAGAAGAAAGAATTTGGATACATTTTAATTTTGCTACGAAGAACAATCAGTCCAGATTGGTTTTTGTTTTAAAAACTAAGACCAAACATAGAGTATCCCTGTGTCCATCTTAGCCTTCCTTCCAGAGTGCATAAATAAACAGTGAAAATTAACAGAGACGCAACCTGTTTAAAAGAATCTGAATTTATTATGATGTTTGGCAGATACTAAATGAAGACTCCACAAAGTGTGCTCTTGACATAAATGATGACATAATAACCTAAGCATCATTCTGGGTGTGGTGACATCGGCTTGTAATCCCAGCACTTAAGAGACTGAGGCATGTGTATCTCACAAATTCGAGGTTAGCCTGAGCTACATAGTGAGTTCAAAACGAGCCAAAACTATATAGCAAGACCCTGTCTTTAAAAAAAAAAACAAAACTGTATAGCTCAGAACAAACACTTCTGATTCTATAAACTTATCTTAAAGATATACAACAGTATAATATTTATATAGTTAAAAAATAAAGTCTAAATATTTAGTACAATCTTTTAGCACCATTCTTAATTTGATAAAAATTAAAATAATTCTGTGAGGAAGGCTAAAACAGACTATAAGACCAAAAATGGAATGGAATGGAATTACATTTAAATCACATAGATCAATCCCCAGGCCTGCCATGCCAGCCCCATCCCCTGAGCGCACTGAGTCAGCATCAGACTGGGTGTGGTGGCACGTGCCTGTAATCCCAGCTCTTGGGAGGCTGTAAACAGGTGGATCACTACAAGTGCAATCTAGTAGTGAGACCCTGAACACGCTGTAGACTCTTCCCCAAAATATAAAATAGATAAATTAATAAATAAATAAATATTTTAAAAATCACACAGAAATGCAAAAAAAAAGACAAAGAAAGGAATATCAGATGCTACACAGTGAGGTGCTAATAGGGTAGATAAAGGTCAAACTGACTCTAACATATAATGTCTCACAAAGCCTTTAGTATTTATTCATTTTATGTAACAGACACCAAACCAGAGTTTTCCATGTGCTGGAAAGTAGGTTAAGCATTTACAAAATTAATTCATTTAACCCTCATTAAGGGCCATAAGTGTCTCCAAATTACATGTCATAAAACTAAGGAACAAGAAATCCTGCATCATTTCCCCAAAGTGTTCCAAAAGCATTTTAATAACACAGGACACATAGTTAAATTATTTTTTATACAAATGCAAAGTTAGAATTTAGTAATATACCCCCAAACCAGCCAGGCAGAAATGCAAAGGCAGGATTCAAAGCCAGACACTTGGCTCCAAAGTCTGGCTTCCACATGCGGCCAAATGAGAGGGGTCTTCACAGCCCTCACGTTCTCAGGTAGTCATCTAAGAACAGGCACAAGCACAGGCTGCATTCTGTAAGACTCAAGATTTAATGGTAGAACCTGATGATGGTGTGAGAGAAGATAAGCCATACAGGACCTTTCTTTATGAAGCCTGCACTATTGATTAAGTGCCCGTTAGTAAATTATTTAAATTTTCTATGTTCTGGTTTCTTTATCAGAAAAAAACATCAGTATATGTAGCCTGCCATACAGTAAATGCTACATAGGTGCTTATTATTACTTCTGGTAAAGTGAGAGGTTCTGACCCAAAAAAAAGCCAAATTTGAGACAACAAATGACACCGCTAACTGTGTTGGGGACTGCACAGGGCCCAAGACTGTGCTTCCTTGGAGCCAGTAGTTGGACCACAGCTATCACCCACATGCTTCAAACACTCACATGATGGGGTCCAGCTGGGAGGTTAAAAGCAAGAGCTATAATACGAGCTACTTTTTTTCAAAACTGCTCTTCTATATCCAGGTGACAAACCCTGACTATGTACTGTTTCATCTGTTTAAATCTGTTTCCTCCCCTATGGAATTCTAAAAAATATGCATAGAGGGTTGAAAATTAAATAAGTTTCAGAGTGTGAAGTTCATATTTTAAAGGATTCACTTAATAAACATTCTCAAATATTATGGCATGAGTATTAAACAGGGAAGAAATGTCTTTAAGTCTCTGATATATTCAGAACTGCTGTGTTTGAAATGAGAACAAAATATCCCTTCAACTAAGAAATTAAAGTGACCTCAGGGAAAACATTGACAAGCTTTAGGAAAATGCTCAATCAATGTCTAATCCGAACAATTGCATCACATAAATGCCAATTAAAAACTGTGTAGCTTGTCATCAATAAGCTGGGAACCCAAATTTGTAAATTCTTACACTGGCCCAACTACAGAGAATAAATATATCTCCTTGAATATATTATTTTGCCATTTTCTAACTCTGTTTCTTTACCTAAAAAATCAATGCTAAAAATATTAATTTATCAGAAATAGCATTAAAGTACATCATTCAGATAACTTTTGTGAGGATACATATGATAAACACAAAGGATATTTCATTTACAAAGAGTACTGTTGAACACATGTACTTTTCAAGTAAATCAGTTTACCTAAATTCAAGAACATGAATGTCCTTGTATCCTGGTAACCCAGTAAATGCATTTTCAACCTGTTAAAAATAAAAATAAAAATTATAAATATATAGAAATGTAAGGAAGCACTGTTTATATAATACTTTTAAGATTAGAAGACGAAGTCTACTATTTACAGTTATTTGAAGATACATATGCGTCTAGCAATAAAAATACTTTATAGTGTTGAAAATAGCATTTGTCATAATATTGCATATTTTGTCCTTTTTGCTTGTCCTTTAAGGCTTTAATGTGTTTTCATGCTTTTTCTAAATTATAAAAAGCATATTCTTATTGATAAAACATTGTTTTATCTCTTCTGTGATGAAATATGAAAAAATATTAGCTTAAAAAAGGCTATAATACCACTTTTAAATGTTATTATCTGGATCAGAAATCTGGCTCCAATCAATATATTGACAATGAGTAGCGCATCTGGTTTCCATAAATGTGGAAGTGCCGATGATAGCTGTTTCTTGCTCCTATAACACAAGAGAACTATGAACATAGTAAGCATTTGAAAGAAGAGTACAAGCCCTGAATTAGCTCCAGGATAGAGACGCGGTAGCCGGGTAACATCAATCAGTGATCAGTTTATGAACTTTCCATCCACAGGCTTTAATACTGAGTCTTTAAAATTCGATCATGTAATTCCATATGAGCTTAATGACTGGAGGAATAAGAAAGAATGCGAGACTAAAGATCTAAAACTAATCACATCAGATGAAATACATTAATAAGATTGTTCATTGAAATCATAGCATTTCAACAAAAGTTACATTTTTTTGTTATATAGGTCCTGCTTTATCTTGGTCTTAACCATCCTGCAGAAAAGTACAAAAACAAGGTACAAAAAGTAAAGCCATATTAATGTGCTGAGCTGTAAAAGGCTCAAGTCAACAATTTCTGACATTGCCAGCCCTGCAGATAACCCACTTCTATTATAGACTACTGGACTATATTGAATTACTTTGCTGAATTCACGCACCTACAATATATGAAAGGCAATAGAATACCCATCTCTGACAAAAGTAAACAAAAAAGGGGGATATAAATGAACGACCATTTTTAAAAAAAAAAAAAAAAAAAAATATATATATATATATATATATATCTGTACATACAAAACAGGATATAGAGCTACTTGCTCTTAGTTCAATGAGAAGAAAGATTTGTACTAATAGTGTTTAGACAAGATATCATGTCTTCATCTTGTACTATGAATAACTACTACAAAGACAACAATATGCAATGTATTAATTATTGTAACTGTCCTACTAACCTGTTTTGAAACTGTCTCAATGCTATTTCTTTCTCAATAAAATTAATATAAAAAACCATAGCATTTCAGAAGGTGGCTCATGAAATGGGATACTGTATGGCTAACACCAGAATAATGGAAATTAGCTTAATAGACTTTCAGGGCACCTCTGTATATCTGTTTCTAACCAAGTCATTATATAATTAGGAGTGAAAAAATTTTTTTAAGTTCTGATTATCCAACATCTTCATGTTCTAAAAATAAACAATTCAGCCTGGTTTGGTGGCACATGCCTGCAATCCTAGCACTCCAGAGGCTGAGGCAGAAAGATCACTGTGCATTTGAGGCCAACCTGGACTATACAGAGTTCAAGGAGAGCATGAACTACAAAGCAAGACCCTGTCTCAAAAAAGGGGAGAGTGGCACATCCTTGTAATCCCAGCACTCAGGAGGCTGATACAAGAGGACTGTTGTGAGTTTGAGACCAGCCTGGGTTACAAAGTAAGCTCAAGAAGAGCCTGAACTACATAGCAAGACCCTGTCTCAAAAAGACAAAAGAATAAAAAATTAAAACCTGTGACACTTTTTTACTTTATTTTATTCTTTTCACAGAATAAATTCGTACAAAATGGAGATAGAGATGGAATTTGTAGGACAAGGAATCAGAAGCCTCTGGTATCGAATGACTACCATGTCTGGTGCCTTGCAATATTACTTCTAATCCTTGCAACATTTCCCAGACATACACATTATCTTGGCTTTACAAATGAGAAACCTGAGACACTAAGATGTTAAATAACTTGGCCAGGAGCATGTTTTTTGTTATTGAATCAGAATTTATTTAACTTCAGATTCCTTAATACTAAACTCTTATTTCTCCCACTGAATTACATCGCCTTCTCATCTTCCTATTGCCATGTGAAAAATGTTTTAGAATTAGGACTCAGACTGCAAAAACTGTCAAATTCCTATTTCCCCAAAATAAAATGAGAAGAACTGTGGACTGTATAAGGGAGGAGCACTTTGAAAGGCAAAAGAAATTTAATTTTACATTCTGTTGCTACTGAGGCTGAAATAACCCTGGAGAAGGTAATTGGCCTGCCAAACCACCCCCGTAACATGAAGGTGCTTATCGCCAGGAAGCATGTAAGCAAGCAGACAGAACAGCCTGTGGAAGCACTACATGGGCATAAAAGAGCAGTGCAGGGCACTACACTGATGCTGGATTGTCCTCCTTTTCAGACCTCCCCACACTCATCCCACTGTCCTCCACTCTGACATCCTTCTTGGTATTGCTGCAAGCTTGTTGTACTCCCTCTTCCTCTTACCTCACTACCTTGCTTTCCTCTTTATCCTCATTAAAAAAGTAAAACCTGAACTCCATCTTCTCCAATAGGCCTTCTATTTCCCTGAGTGTCCTCCACTGCTACCTAGGATGCATACTAAGGGCACAAGCTGCGTGACTATTCCATGAAATGAAGAGCCAGAGCAAGGTTTCTTTAGGTTTTCAGTAAGCACAGTGACAAGATCCTCCTGAGACGGTACTCCTACCTCTGCTGCTCCACACAAAGAAGCAGCTATTGAGAAACACTTTAATCAAAGTAAGAAGGGACATATGGCACAGATACAGGCCAGAGAAGCAGGCATCTTCATGATAGGCCCACACCTTTCACCATCAAATCGTTTTACCCTCTCTCTTTAAGTCTCAACTAAAGATGGTTTTCATAGTGCTTACTAGAGTTTCTCTAAATATTCAGTCATTCTACACAACTGTTTACCAAAACACTAAAACTTATTAAGTGTTCCTTAATCCAAAGGCAAAAAACCAGACAGCCAACCTCAGACACTATCTGATGCCAGTTGGACACTGGCCTGGCTAACATTTCTTCCACACACCACAGAGACTTGCAACCTGGCCACCTGGCTAGGAAAATGAATTGTCTGTCCCACACTCCTATGTCTGATGACTGCAATGATGCTGTTTGGTAAGCGATGCTTATTTTTATTTCCTATCTGGACACAGTGTCTGGGGAAGGAAATTAATCCAAGTTAATGGAATTGAAAACCTTGGCCAACCAGAACCAGATCAAGAGGGAATGAAAAAGAAACAGGGAAGAATGATGTGCCCTGTCACCAGGGAGGGGCAGCCAGCCAGCCGGTGCCTACCACACAAAGACAAAGACACAAGAGAAAGGGCCCTGGGAATGGGTCACCCTTAACTGGAAGAAACGAGTTTGAGTCCTATGGAGAAGTTTTTTTAAAAAACAAAAGCATGGTCTATTTCACAGTTATTTGAAGAAATCTTTTTGTTAAAAAAAAAAAAATACCTCTTACAGCCAGGGAGATGGCTCAACAGAATAAACGCTTGCCTGGCAAGCACAAGGGCCTGAGTTTAATCCCCAATGCCACAAAAAAAAAGAGAAAAAAAAACTTCCAAAAAAATGCCTCTTACCAAAAAACAAATATAAAGGGAAATCTATTTTTAACTGGATGTCTTTTTTTTATATCCCTTATGTAGTAACTATGCAAAATTTTTAGCATAACCAAAAAGAATACTAACAATGGATTTTTAAAATTAAATTTAATGTTCCCTCAAGAAAAACAATACACTATTCATAATTTCTCAGAGATGCTCATTTCTCTAGCCAGTGTTAAGAGCTCCATCATCTTCATCTGTGCAACACAAGTTGTAAAGAGCATTTATTTGTTCATAGATAGAAGTATTTTATTTCTAGGGAAGAACTTCTCTGTCTTTCAGTGAACTTTCATAGACTTTCTGAAGAAACAGCTAAGTCACTGCACCAGGAACCAAGTAGGACAGTCTGAGTCCTAAATGTACCTTTAGACAATGTTGTGAATATGGGACACTTACATAGCCAGAAAACTGCCTTGTTTACTAAAACCAACAAAGAAAAGCCACCCACCTCTGAAATGAACTCTTCTACGAGTTGCCTGTGGTGGGAGCTGGAGGGATCCTGTAGCTCTTGCCCGTACTGCTTCCGCAAAAGGTGAATACTGAACTCTGCAATCTGTTCAGCCGCTGGTTTTGTGGGCTCTTCAATAACATTTACAATTTCATTGCTAATCTGGATTTTCAGAAAAGAACAATAGGGTTCCATGTTATTAATTCACAACAAATGAATTATCAACTGCTTACAAAGCCCTAGATACTGTGCCAGAGGCAATTTCTGACTATGAACTTTGATGCAGTATTTGATTTTGAAATAAGTTGGATAGACTTTAAGACATATACTAATATTAAAATTACTGAGCCTTTATACATTCCTTTGAACACACATTGACCAGTTCCAGAAAAAATAGAAAAATCTCCATTAGAAATCATCAAAGTGAATTTTAAAAGAGTTGACTGTTATGTAATTATCATTTAAAAGTAGTGTAAGTAGGAGCCGGGGAGATGGCTCAGTAGAATAAGTGCTTCCCTGGCAAGCACAAGGGCCTGAGTTCAATCCCTGGTTCCACAAAAAAATAAAAATAAATAATTTTTTTTTTTAAATGGGCTGGGGAGATGGCTCAGTAGCATAAGTGCTTGCCTGGCAATTGCAAGGGCCTGAGTCCAATTCCCAGTTCCACCGAAAAGAAAAAAAAAACAAAAAAAAAGTAGTGTAAGTGGATGTTTTTCAAATTTTGGTGGCAGAGCCCCTTTATATTCTTAAAAACAATTGAGCAAACTGAAGAAGTGTGGTTTATGTATACTATACCTACAAGTTCTACCAAACCAAATTAAAATGCATTATGTACTTGTACCAACTTCCCACAAGGAATGTCAACATGATACTACACACATATGTTAATAATATACTTGGATTTTAAAACTGGGAAAACTTACAAGAGAGATTTGAAAAATATTGATTAATTTACTTTAAAATGGCAATATCCCCATTTCATGTAAAAAATAAACATTTTCTGCAAAATAATGAGTGGAAAAGGTGACATTATTTACATTTTTGCAATCTCTTTACTAATATCTGGGCTAAACAAAAGACAGCAGGGTTCTCAGGTTCACTTCTGCATTCAGTTCATCACTATATTATATTTCAGTTGAAATGCGTGAAGAAAATCTGGCCACACAGACATATATTGGAGAAAGGAAGACTATATTAATAACCTTTTTAGATTCTGGGAATACTCATTTTTGATAATATACCAGTCAAAAAGTGCTTATTTCTTAAAGGTTGGTTGACATGTGGAATCAAAAGCTGCATTCAACAAACTTTCTGCAGTACTATTCTATAACAAAATCCAAGTTTTCCACTGACAGAAAACAATTTCAGCAGCAAAATAAATATTGCATTATAGTCTAAAGAATAAAATAAATATCAATGAACACATACTGATGTGAACAAATGACTGAATAAATGATTGAGAGTGAAGTAACATTTTTTTGTTTTTAGTGCAGGATATACAGGATATACACAGATTGGACTCATAGTGATTCTCCTGTTTTCAGCCTCCCAAGCGCTGGGATTACAGGTGTGCTCCGCCACACCAGTTTCAATTGCTGTCTCAGCACACCCGGGGGACTGGGCCAGCATGGAACAACATTTTTAAAGTAGAATTATACCTAATAAATGTAGAAGGGAGGAGGAAATTCTTTTATCATTTCGAGAATATTACAGTGTTCCTTTCTTTCTTTGCTTTTCTTTCTTTCTTTCTTTCTTTCTTTCTTTCTTTCTTTTTGCAGAACCAGGGATTGAACTCAGGCCCTTGCGCTTGCCAGGCAAGCGCTTATTCTACTGAGCTATCAGTATGTAATTTTTTATATAATATATAATTTTTTACAATAAAGACTCAGACATACACCATGACCAGGTTGGATTCACACCAGGGAAGCAAGAATTGTTCAATATTTGAAAATCTATAAGTGTAATACACTACATCAATAGAACGAAAATTAAAAACCACATGATCATCTCCATTGATGCACAAAAGGCTTTTGACAAAGTCCAACACTCATTCACATTCAAAGTACTACAGAAAATTGGAATAGATGTCCTCAACTTCAATCTGGTAAAAGTCATTTATGAAAACCCAATGGCTAACATAATTCTAAATGGGGAAAAACTGAAATCTTTTACTCTTAGATCTGGAACAAGACAATGATGTCCTCTATTACCACTCCTATTCAATACAGTTCTGGAATCATTAGCTATAGCCATTAGACAAGAGAAAGAAATGAAAGGAATAAGAATAGGCAAAGAAGAAGTTAAATTATCATTATTTGCAGATGACATGATACTTTATTGGAAAACCCAAAAAACTCCACCAAGAAGCTATTGGAATTATTACAGAAATTCAGTAGCATAGCAGGATACAAATTCAATACCCAAAAGTCAATAGCATTCCTCTACACAGATAACAAACACACTGAGAGGGAAATTATAGAAACAATTCCTTTTACCATAGCACCAAGGAAAATTAAATACCTTGGAATTCACTTAACTAAAGAAGTCAAAGATCTTTTCAAAGAAAATTACAGTAGTTTTAAAAAAAGAGATTGTAGGGGATTTCAGAAAATGGAAATATAGTCAATGCTCCTGGATAGGAAGAAACAACATTGTGAAGATGTCCATACTCCCAAAATTACTGTACAGATTTAATGCAATCCCTATCAAACTACCACCAACATATCTCACAGAGCTAGAGAAATCATTCCTAAGATTTATTTGGAACCAGAAAAGACCTAGAATAGCAAAGGCAATCCTGGGCAATAAAGAAAAGGCAGGAGGCATTACAATTCCTGACTTGAAATTATACTACAAGGCTACTGTGATAAAATCAGCATGGTACTGGCAATGAAATA